TAGTTCTGCATGATATGCACACACTACCCGAAAGTGGACAGTTGCAGCACTATACCCCCTTTCTAGGACTTCCCTGAAGGACAACAGTGAAGGGAAATCTTCCCAATGGGCAGAACTTTGAGCAGTGCACCTGGTTGTGCACTTTGCATGGAAGGAGAAATGGCCAGATGTGCGATTATATGCTGATTCAGGGGCTGTAGCCAATGGTTTGGCTGGATAGTCAGGAACTTGGAAGAAGCATGATTGGAAATTGGTGACAAAGTCTGGGGAAGAGGTATGTGGATGTACTTCTCTGAGTGGTCAAAAACTGTGAAGATATTTGTATCCCATGTAAGTGCTCACCAATAGGTGACCTCATCAGAGGAGGATTTTAATAATCAAGTGGATAGGATGACCCTGAGTGTGGATACCACTCAGCCTCTTTCCCCAGCCACCCGTCATCACTGAATGGGCCCATGAACAAAGTCACCATGCTGGCAGGGATGGAGGTTACTCATGGGCTCAGCAACATGGATTTCCACTCATGAAGGCTGACCTGGCTGTGACCACTACTGAGTGCCCAATTTGCCAGTAGCAGAGACCAACACTGAGCCCCCGATATGGCACCATTCCTTGGGGTGATCAGCCAGCTACTTGGTAGCAGGTTGATTATATTGGATCTCCTCCATCATGGAAAAGGCAGAGTTTTGACCTCACTGGAATAAACACTTACTCTGGATACGGGTTTGCCTATCCTGCATGCAACACTTCTGCCAAGACTACCATCCATGGACTCAAAGAATGCCTTATCCACCATCACGGTATTCCACACAACATTGCCTCTGATGAAGGCACTCACTTTTTGGCTAAAGAAGCGTGGCAGTGGTCTCATGCTCATGGAATTCACTGGTCTTACCATGTTATCCATCATCCTGAAGCAACTGGATTGATAGAATGGTGGAATGGCATTTTGAAGTCACAATACAATGCCAACTAGGTAACAATACTTGGCAGGGCTGGAGCAAAGTTCTCCAGAAGACCATGTATGGTCTGAATCACTGTCCAATATATGGTACTGTTTCTCCCGTAGCTAGGATTCACAGGTCCAGGAATCAAGAGGTGGAAGTGGCACCACTCACCATCACCCCTAGTGATCCACCAGCAAAATTTTTGCTTCCTGTTCCCATGACATTATGTTCTGCTGGTCTAGCAGTCTTAGTTCCAGAGGGAGGAATGCTGCCACCAGGAGATGCAACAATGATTCCATTAAACTGGAAGTTAAGATTGCCACCTGGACATTTTGGACTCCTCCTACCTTTAAGTCAACAGGCTAAGAAGTGAGTTACAGTGTTGGCTGGGATGATGGACCCAGACTATCAAGATAAATCAGTCTACTACTCCACAACAGAAGTAAGGAAGAGTATGCATGGAATACAGGAGATCCATTAAGGCATCTTTTAATGTTACCATACCCTACGATTAAGGTAAATGGGAAACTACAATAGCACAATCCAGGCAGGACTACAAATGGTTCAGAGCTCCCAGGAATGAAGGTTTGGGTCACTCCACCAGGAGAAAAACTGTGACCTGCTGAGGCACTTGCTGAAGGCAAGGGGAAAAGAGAATGGGTAGTAGAAGAAGGTAGTCATCAATACCAGCTACGACCACGTGAATCAGCTGCAGAAACAAGGACTGTAACTGTCATGAGTATTTCCTTCTTCTTTTGTTAAATCATGTTTGTGCATGTAAACACTTGTACTAAGAAAATGTCTTTATTTTATTTCCTTGTCATTTATCATGTAACATAAGATTTATTGACCTCATATCAGCATTTAAGTATTGTTAACTGTATGTTATGGATGGTAGTATTTGGGTTGGGGGTCGGTGTGTTTCCAGTAGCACAAAGGATGGTTGGAATATGTTAGGCGTAATTATGACCTTACTATTGTCTTTATTTGAATATTATGTATGATCTGAGGAGATGTGTATGGGTTCAAGTTGACAAGGGATGAACTTGTGACGGTAAATACTGAGTGTCAACTTGGTTGAAGAATACAAAGTATTATTACTGGGTGTGTCTGTGTAGGTGTTGCCAAAAGAGATTAACATTTGAGTCAGTGTGCTGGGGAAGGCAGATTCACCCTTAATCTGGTGGGCTCAATCTAATCAGCTTCCAGAGAATATAAAGCAGTCAGAAAAAAACGTAAAAAAGAGAGATGGGCTTAACCTGCCAGTCTACATCTTTCTCTGTGCTGGATGCTTCCTGCCCTGGAACATCGGACTCCAAGTTCTTCAGTTTGTGGAATTGAATTGGTTCTCCTTGCTCCTCAGCTTGTGGACAGCCTATTGTGGGACCTTGTGATTTCATGTATATATGTGTACACATGTGTGTGTGTATATATGATATATATATCATATATATATCTCATATACATCTCATGGATACTATATATATATATAAATATATAAATATATAAAAATATATCTCCTATTAGTTTTGTCCCTATAAGAGAACCCTGACTAATACAATGGATTACTGGGAGATGGCAATTTATTACTTCTAAATCTGCAATGGCTCATCTGTGAGAGAGAAATGAGATAGAAGTTATCCTTCAACCATATCCTGTAATACTACCCTCCTTTCAGAAATCAAGGACAAGTCAATACTTATACCAGAAAGATATTTTTATTTTTTAAAAAAACCCCTCTATATATGGTAAAATTGATTGTTTTTTGATTGACACATTTTACTCTTGTACACATTTTTGGTTTTATCATTGCTGTAGGCAATAGAGAGGAAATTACTTCGTAATATCCCTCTGTGTTTGACAATAAAATACAAGAAAAATTAAGTCTTTCTCCAGTATAGTGAGTTAGGTGATTGAGATGAAAATTCCCAGTTTTATGGGTGGGTAGAGTTGTGAATCATGAGTGCTGTTACCAAAAAAAGGCTACGTTTTTAAGTCCAGGATAGGAAATTCTTACATAAAATTATCTCTGTCTCACGCAGCCTTGATTATATGAAACAAAGAAACCAAAATTCTTGTTTTTTAAAAAAAAGTTTTGAGACATAGTAAATTGGATTTTATTTGCCACAAGATTTTTTTACTGATAAAAAAATTTCTTCAATATAATTCTTATTTACCCCAAAACTGTAATCCACCGACTTGACTTAAAAGCTATCTTTTTTCAGTCCGAGTGCGGTGGCTCAAGCCTGTAATCCCAGCACTTTGGGAGGCTGAGTCGGGTGGATTACGAGGTCAGGAGATTGAGACCATCCTGGCTAACATGGTGAAACCCCGTCTCTACTAAAAATACAAAAAAAAAAAAAAGAAAGAAAGAAAGAAAAATTAGCCGGGCGTGGTGGCAGGCACCTGCAGTCCCAGCTACTCCGGAGGCTGAGGCAGGAGAATGGCTGAACCCGGGAGGTGGAGCTTGCAGTGAACGGAGATTGAGCCACTGCACTCCAGCCTGGGCGACAGAATGAGACTCCACCTAGGAAAAAAAAAAACAAACAAACTATTTTTTTTCATGCCAGTTGAGTATAATATTCTTGTTCTATTTTTGTATCCTTAATAACCCGCTTTGAGCAATTAGTGGAGGAAAAACCATATCTGTGTTCTGCAGATGTACTCAACGGGGCCATCCATTTATATCTGGATATCATCATATCTGGTAGTTCACTGATAGTAGAACTAGGTGGTAAAGTTGATTCTCTTCTTTTTTCTTTTACAAAATGCATCACAATCTTATAGATATTACAATAGGCTTCAGTAGTGGTGGTGTTCTTGATTTCATCAACAGGAGGTACATTTGTATGTGAGGCTGTGTGTCTGTGTGTGCAACCAAAATGGCCGCCTCTTGGAGTAATTACATATTCTCCAGATTCCTAGAGTCACTTTTCCTTTAGTATTGAAGCAAAAAGTTTTTTGAATTATCTTCTCACATATTATTGGAAAACTAGCATATTTTCCCATAGCTACACTGATTCCTGTTGGGTTTGATCAGTGGGGGGATGTCACTTGCATTTTTTCTGATCGCTTCTGACTTCTAGTTCTTGCTCTATTGTATTATAAAGTTCTTCTCAACCTTTCACTTCCTATCTGTAAGGCCATATTTCACTCTGCTTTACACTGTCCAAACTGTTTACTACTAAAGTCCTCTGAGTCTAGAATATGTGCATAGCAGACTTTTCTGAAGGACTTGGGTACTAAAGGAGAATTATATAAAATAGGCAACATATTTGAGGTAATCTAACCTTCAATGTTAGACAGCCTTGGTCTTAAAAGTCATCTAATCATTCTCATTGCAGTTAATCATCATTGGTTATATATTTGACTTTGGTTTCAGCCTATTGCCATGCTGTTGGATTTCCCTTTCTTCCTTCAACTGTTTTCCCTCTCTTTTCAGCTTGCTAATCTCTAACCCAAAATTCCTGTTCATTCCTTCTATAGAATAGTTTATTCATATCCTTGAGTAGAAGAATATTAACAAGATTGGCTATACTTGCTCTGAAGGTCTTATCTCTGTTGCCAGAATATCCCTTGATATAATTTACATGGTCAACTCATAACCTAAAAATGTTTTTCTAAAGAATGATACAAACTAAAATATTATGGAATAAATGATGTGTCTGGGGTTTGCTTGAAAATAATCTGGGGGAGAGGAATGGGTAAACATAGAGATGAAATGATATTGACTATGGGTTGTTGTGTCAATATTGTTGTGTTATATCAGTATTGACCATAAGTACTGAAGCTGGGTGATAGGTACATGGGAGTCCATTATATTTGTTTACTTTACTTTTGTATATATTTAAAGTACTCTATAATAACAAGCTAAAATTTTTTTCTACTATTTATTGCAATATGTAGTATATGTTCTATAAAATTATAATAGACAATTAAGTAGATAATTACTCTAAGCCAATGTAAGAGATTAATAGACTAAAACTCAGGTTAAAAGCAGATATTGGAAGGGAGGCAAACTTAAGAGTACATTGAAAAAATTGTAAGGAGAGATGCAATGATAACAAATATATTTGTTACCTTCCAGGGCACAAAAAATTACCAAAACTTAGTGGCTGAAAACATCAGACATTCATTATCCCAAAGTTGTGGGTCAGGAATCGGGGCAAAGTTTAAGTGGATTTCTCAGGATCAAGATACTTTGCAAGGGTGCCATGAAGTTGTTGGCTGGAGCTCCAATCATACGAGGCTGAGCTAGATGAATATCTACTTCCACAAACACATTTATGTAATTCTTGGCAGGTCTCAGATCCTCTCTGGCTGTTATCCAAAGACATCATTTTCTTGTCCACATGGTTCTCTCCATAGGGAAACTCTACAACATGGAAGAGATTCCCCTTAAAAAGTGATTGAGATAGCAACTCCAGGTAGAAGCCACAGTCTTTTTGTAATCTAATTTCAGATGACAGGCCATTGCTTTTCTATATTCTATTTTATAGCAGTATGTCTATTTTTTAGAATAAGTTAGGAGGAGGGTATCATTTGGGGCCATGTTAGAGGGTGCCTACCATAGTCTGGACTTTGGGCTCCAATAGTTTACATTTCTCTCACATTCCAAATACATTCATTCCCTCCCAAGGTCCCCAAAGTCTCTTGTCATTATAGCATCAGCTCAAAGTCCAGGATCTCATCAACTAAGTCAGATCCGGGTATGGATGAGATTTCTCAGGGTTAGTTCCAAAGTTCAGCTCCCTTTATGGAGTTTCTCTTACTATAGAGACCTGTGAAAATAAAAATCCAGGTTCTCTGTTTCTCACACATCAATATACAATGGTGAAACAGGTATAGGATAAACACTATAAATATTCCTTCGAAAACAGGGAAAATGCCAGGGGCGGGCACAAAGGAGTCTCTGATCCATAACAATTCTGAAGTCTAACTGGGCAAATGTTGGAAATTCCTTAATTAGGTCTTAAGGACTAGCAATAAGTCTCCATGGCTGTTGGCTCTGCCCTCTGGAATTATACCGGTCAACCCAGGCTGCTATCAAAATACCACCAGCTGGATGCCTTAAACAACAGAAATTTATTTTCCTACATCTCTGAAGGCCAGAAGTCCAAGATCAAGGTGTCAGCAAGATGGTCTTTCTTCCTGGCTTGCAGATGGCTACCTCCTCATTGTGTCCTCACATGGTCTTTCCTCTGTGTATGTGCAGAGAAAGAGGGGAGAGAGAGCGAGACAGAGTGTGTGCGTGAGAGAGAGATAATACCAGTACAGCATGAATATAGAGATTACAGGAACAATTTTATACATTATTCATGCCAATCATCATAATAATTTCCCAGGATGCCTTTATTGTAAGTGAAGGTAAAACCACTAAAAATTCCACCAGATAAATCAAAATCATGTTATCTAGCACTTAAAGAATTATATAATTGTACTATTATTTGATTATACTTTTTATCTAATACAACCTTGATTTTGTTAATATTTCATCTACTCATTTATTCAATAAATTATTGTTAACCACTTACTAATTGCTAGGTATTGAGGTTACAATAGTTTCCACCTTGAAAGAGCTAGCAAATTTTAGTTCCTAATTCTATAGGGTGATGTAATTTTCTTTTTTTTTTCTTTTTTTTTTTTGTTTTTTTAAATTTATTTATTATTACTATACTTTAAGTTGTAGGGTACATGTGCATAACGTGCAGGTTTGTTACATATGTATACTTGTGCCATGTTGGTGTGCTGCACTCATCAACTTGTCATTTACATCAGGTATAACTCCCAATGCAATCCCTCCCCCATCCCCCCTCCCCATGACAGGCCCCTGTGTGAGATGTTCCCCTTCCTGAGTCCAAGTGATCTCATTGTTCAGTTCCCACCTATGAGTGAGAACATGCGGTGTTTGATTTTCTGTTCTTGTGATAGATTGCTAAGAATGATGGTTTCCAGCTGCATCCATGTCCCTACAAAGGACACAAACTCATCCTTTTGGATGGCTGCATAGTATTCCATGGTGTACATGTGCCACATTTTCTTAATCCAATCTGTCACTGATGGACATTTGGGTTGATTCCAAGTCTTTGCTATTGTGAATAGTGCTGCAATAAACATACGAGTGCATGTGTCTTTATAGCAGCATAATTTATAATCCTTTGGGTATATAACCAGTAATGGGATGGCTGGGTCATATGGTACATTTAGTTCTAGATCCTTGAGGAATCGCCATACTGTTTTCCCTAATGGTTGAACTAGTTTACAATCCCACCAACAGTGTAAAAGTGTTCCTATTTCTCCACATCCTCTCCAGCACCTGTTGTTTCCTGACTTTTTAATGATCGCCATTCTAACTGGTGTGAGATGGTATCTCATTGTGGTTTTGATTTGCATTTCTCTGATGGCCAGTGATGATGAGCATTTTTTCATGTGTCTGTTGGCTGTATGAATGTCTTCTTTTGAGAAATGTCTGTTCATATCCTTTGCCCACTTTTTGATGGGGTTGTTTGTTTTTTTCTTGTAAATTTGTTTGAGTTCTTTGTAGGTTCTAGATATTAGCCCTTTGTCAGATGAGTTGATTGCAAAAATTGTCTCCCATTCTGTAGGTTGCCTGTTCACTCTGATGGTAGTTTCTTTTGCTGTGCAGAAGCTCTTTAGTTTAATGAGATCCCATTTGTCAATTTTGGCTTTTGCTGCCGTTGCTTTGGTGTTTTAGACATGAAGTCTTTGCCCATGCCTATGTCCTGAATGGTACTACCTACGTTTTCCTCTAGGATTTTTATGGTATTAGGTCTAACATTTAAGTCTCTAATCTATCTTGAATTAATTTTCGTATAAGGAGTAAGGAATGGATCCAGTTTCAGCTTTCTACTTATGGCTAGCCAATTTTCCCAGCACCATTTATTAAATAGGGAATCCTTTCCCCATTTCTTGTTTCTCTCAGGTTTGTCAAAGATCAGATGGCTGTAGATGTGTGGTATTATTTCTGAGGACTCTGTTCTGTTCCATTGATCTATATCTCTGTTTTGGTACCAGTACCATGCTGTTTTGGTTACTGTAGCCTTGTAGTATAGTTTGAAGTCAGGTAGCGTGATGCCTCTAGCTTTGTTCTTTTGACTTAGGATTGTCTTGGAGATGCGGGCTCTTTTTTGGTTCCATATGAACTTTAAAGCAGTTTTTTCCAATTCTGTGAAGAAACTCATTGGTAGCTTGATGGGGATGGCATTGAATCTATAAATTACCTTGGGCAGTATGGCCATTTTCACGATATTGATTCTTCCTATCCATGAGCATGGTATGTTCTTCCATTTGTTTGTGTCCTCTTTTATTTCACTGAGCAGTGGTTTGTAGTTCTCCTTGAAGAGGTCCTTTACATTCCTTGTAAGTTGGATTCCTAAGTATTTTATTCTCTTTGAAGCAATTGTGAATGGAAGTTCATTCATGATTTGGCTCTCTGTTTGTCTGTTACTGGTGTATAAGAATGCTTGTGATTTTTGCACATTAATTTTGTATCCTGAGACTTTGCTGAAGTTGCTTATCAGCTTAAGGAGATTTGGGGCTGAGACAATGGGGTTTTCTAAATATACAATCATGTCATCTGCAAACAGGGACAGTTTGACTTCTTCTTTTCCTAATTGAATACCCTTGATTTCTTTCTCTTGCCTAATTGCCCTAGCCAGAACTTCCAACACTATGTTGAATAGGAGTGGTGAGAGAGGGCATCCCTGTCTTGTGCCAGTTTTCAAAGGGAATTTTTCCAGTTTTTGCCCATTCAGTATGATATTGGCTGTGGGTTTGTCATAAATAGCTCTTATTATTTTGAGGTACGTTCCATCAATACCGAATTTATTGAGCATTTTTAGCATGAAGGGCTGTTGAATTTTGTCAAAAGCCTTTTCTGCATCTATTGAGATAATCATGTGGTTCTTGTCTTTGGTTCTGTTTATATGCTGGATTATGTTTATTGATTTGCGAATGTTGAACCAGCCTTGCATCCCAGGGATGAAGCCCACTTGATCATGGTGGATAAGCTTTTTGATGTGTTGCTGAATCCGGTTTGCCAGTATTTTATTGAGGATTTTTGCATCAATGTTCATCAGGGACATTGGTCTAAAATTCTCTTTTTTTGTTGTGTCTCTGCCAGGCTTTGGTATCAGGATGATGTTGGCCTCATACAATGAGTTAGGGAGGATTCCCTCTTTTTCTATTGATTGGAATAGTTTCAGAAGGAATGGTACCAACTCCTCCTTGTACCTCTGGTAGAATTCAGCTGTGAATCCATCTGGTCCTGGACTTTTTTTGGTTGGTAGGCTATTAATTATTGCCTCAATTTCAGAGCCTGCTATTGGTCTATTCAGGGATTCAACTTCTTCCTGGTTTAGTCTTGGAAGAGTGTAAGTGTCCAGGAAATTATCCATTTCTTCTAGATTTTCTAGTTTATTTGCGTAGAGGTGTTTATAGTATTCTCTGATGGTAGTTTGTATTTCTGTGGGGTCGGTGGTGATATCCCCTTTATCATTTTTAATTGCATTGATTTGATTCTTCTCTCTTTTCTTCTTTATTAGTCTTGCTAGTGGTCTGTCAATTTTGTTGATCTTTTCAAAAAACCAACTCCTGGATTCATTGATTTTTTGGAGAGTTTTTTGTGTCTCTATCTCCTTCAGTTCTGCTCTGATCTTAGTTATTTCTAGCCTTCTGCTAGCTTTAAATGTGTTTGCTCTTGCTTCTCTAGTTCTTTTAATTGCGTTGTTAGAGTGTCAATTTTAGATCTTTCCTGCTTTCTCTTGTGGGTATTTAGTGCTATAAATTTCCCTCTACACACTGCTTTAAATGTGTCCCAGAGATTCTGGTATGTTGTATCTTTGTTCTCATTGGTTTCAAAGAACATCTTTATTTCTGCCTTCATTTCGTTATGTACCCAGTAGTCATTCAGGAGCAGGTTGTTCAGTTTCCATGTAGTTGAGCGGTTTTGATTGAGTTTCTTAGTCCTGAGTTCTAGTTTGATTGCACTGTGGTCTGAGAGACAGTTTGTTATAATTTCTATTCTTGTACATTTGCTGAGGAGTGCTTTACTTCCAATTACGTGGTCGATTTTGGAGTAAGTACGATGTGGTGCTGAGAAGAATGTATATTCTGTTGATTTGGGGTGGAGAGTTCTATAGATGTCTATTAGGTCTGCTTGCTGCAGAGATGAGTTCAATTCCTGGATATCCTTGTTAACTTTCTGTCTCGTTGATCTGTCTAATGTTGACAGTGGAGTGTTGAAGTCTCCCATTATTATTGTATGGGAGTCTAAGTCTCTTTATAAGTCTCTAAGGACTTGCTTTATGAATCTGGGTGCTCCTGTATTGGGTGCATATATATTTAGGATAGTTAGCTCTTCCTGTTGAATTGATCCCTTTACCATTATGTAATGGCCTTCTTTGTCTCTTTTGATCTTTGATGGTTTAAAGTCTGTTTTATCAGAGACTAGTATTGCAACTCCCGCTTTTTTTTGTTCTCCATTTGCTTGGTAAATCTTCCTCCATCCCTTTATTTTGAGCCTATGTATGTCTCTGCGTGTGAGATGGGTCTCCGGAATACAGCAGACTGATGGGTCTTGACTCTTTATCCAGTTTGGCAGTCTGTGTCTTTTAATTGGAGCATTTAGTCCATTTACATTTAAGGTTAAGATTGTTATGTGTGAACTTGATCCTGCCATTATGATATTAACTGGTTATTTTGCTCGTTAGTTGATGCAGTTTCTTCCTAGCCTCGATGGTCTTTACATTTTGGCATGTTTTTGCAATGGCTGGTACCGGTTGTTCCTTTCCATGTTTAGTGCTTCCTTCAGGGTCTCTTGTAAGGCAGGCCTAGTGGTGACAAAATCTCTAAGCATTTGCTTATCTGTAAAGGATTTTATTTCTCCTTCACTTATGAAACTTAGTTCGGCTGGATATGAAATTCTGGGTTTAAAATTCTTTTCTTTAAGAATGTTGAATATTGGCCCCCACTCTCTTCTGGCTTGGAGGGTTTCTGCCGAGAGATCTGCTGTTAGTCTGATGGGCTTCCCTTTGTGGGTAACCCGACCTTTCTCTCTGGCTGCCCTTAAGATTTTTTCCTTCATTTCAACTTGGTGAATCTGGCAATTATGTGT